CATATAATTTGATTTTTAATTTTTATAACTGTTTGAAGTAATAAAAAAAATGATTTACAAAAAAATACTATAAGACTCATTTACTAAAACAAATATATTATTTTAAAATATAATACATACCATGTTTTCTTCATTATTTTATAGCTGTGTGTGTGCATTTTATAATATCATTACAGCATTTCACATCAAATCAATCTGGTAAACAAAATATATTTTATATATTGTATTAATATATAATATAATATATTACATACATTGCAGGTGTATGTAATGAAAACATCCGATTACCTATATCTCCTCATATTTCTCGGTAAAACAAAAGCTCTGTTCTAATATATTTTGGAAAAACGAATAGTAATTAATATAAAATGTAATGTAGTACGAAAAAGATAATTTAAAAAAAAGGTAGAGAACCAACATACTCGGTACATTTATTTCATAACGAATTGGAAAAATAAATCAATTTGAATGTATTTAACGTGTTTAAAAAAAACAAATTTCCAATCGTTTAACGTAATATAAAGACACGATTAAATCGTAGTCGAACGATAGACCTAATAAACATAGGCGTGAACAACAGAATTCTAAAAAGTATTGTATATATAGTTTTTATATCCGATTGTGTTTATAAAAATATCATTGACGTCAATCACGTTGCTTTTTATTTTTTGGTAAGACGAATAAAAATTTATGTAATCAAAAAATTTTAAAAACATGTACAGTGGAAAGAAAAAAGGTAAAACTTACCGGGTTTTCTTATTTACATTACATCACAAAAGTTTTAATTTCCTTTCGTCCAAGTGTAACGACTGATGTTGTAACACTCATAACTAAAACCGAAAAAAATAACATTCAATAAGCGGTGGAACGAAAAAGTTTCAAAATGTAATAAATACCGAGTACTCGTTGTTTTATAGCTGTGAACGTTTTGATCAGTATCGTTAGCACCGAAGACCCTTTGAATTCAATTCCTTTCCATTCAAAAAAAGTATAAATAAATCAAACAACAGCTATCTCCCTATATCGTTTGGCAAAACAAATCGTATTGAACGTACTTAACGCTGATAAAAAAACACTATATTACTATATTTTAAACGCATTATGTTTTCTTCGTTTCACAGCTGTGTGTAAGCGTTCAACAATAACGTTACACATCAAATCAACAAGAGTAAAGAAAAACGGATAAATAATTTTCGGTAAAACAAATCGAATATGTAATAACATGTATTAAATAATACGATTGAAGCGATGAAAACGATTTCACAAAAAAAAGTTTGAAACGAAAAGAAAAAAACGGACTTGACGGACGGCGGAAAATGAATAGAAAAGAAACCGCGAGCGGGATCAACACACTCCCGTCGATAAGACACGGCGGCGGTAGTTGATAACAAACGGCGGCGGCGAAAATCGGACGCGACGGACGGAAAACGAAAAAACAGATTCCGCGGGAGCGGAAACGACGCCCGTACGAATCGACGGCGGCAGCGGAAAATCCTGCAAAGAAGCTGGGCGGCGATGGCTTGGAATCGAACCTGGACCTACGGGGACCTATCGGGACCTATGCCTACAACCTATCGAGTTGAAATCTATGAGAAAGATTCGGGCATTTAAACCGTTCGACGGGGACATAAGGTAGACGGAAGACCGATCGGTGACGTCACGTGCGGGCGAAACGTCACGGCGGCGCGAGGGGCACAGGTACAGAACGCTCCGATTGGGCTGGTGCTTAATGGTCGGACATCTTGGATTTTCATCCGGTCGCATCGGAAAATCGAACGGACCGCCGAAATGGAAAGAGGAGACAAAAGTCTACGGGAAACGGTCGACGGAGAAAGGAAAAAGCGTCCGCGGGATTTAAAAGTTTTTCCGACCAATCACCGGTCGGGGAATTATTTTAATATAATAGATAATTAATCATATATTATTTACTTGTAATCACTATTTTAGGAATTATAATCTTATTTACTATTAATTTTACAATATAATAAGTATGATATATTTAATATTATTATCAATGATTAATATAGTATTTTACTATCTACTAATACAAAGGTTCTCAAAGTGTGGGGCGCGACCCTTCGGGGGCCGCGAAAGCTTTATCGCGAAAGTGGGTATAGTGGTCGTACTCGTTTTTTGAAAAAATAACGATGTCGTCTAGGTAGACCTGTACAAACTCATCCAAGTACCCTCTCAATACTTCATTCATGAGTCTTACGAAAGTCATTGGGCTGTTTTTGAGACCGAAAGGGAGAACTCGAAATTGAAAAAGACCTCTACGTGTCCGAAATGCCATGTATTTTCGTGCGTCAGTGCTAAGTGGCACTTGCCAGTAGCCAGACATTAAATCAAGTACACTGAAAATTTTCGCGCCCCGCATTGAGGTACGCGTCGAATTCGGTCACGTCGTTAAGTCGCCTGTAGTCAATGCAAAGGCGGGAAGACCCGTCCTTCTTTTTGGCTAGAACTACTGGGGTGGCCAACGGAGAGGTGCTTGGCTCTACGAGCCCCTGAACCACCATGTCACGTACCATATAATCGATAACAGTTTGTTTCTGCAACGGATATGGGTATGGTTTGAGTGCGATTGGAATGGGGTTTTTTAGCAGAATTTCATGTTCAATTAGTTTGGTACGGCCTATCTTATCGCTGAATACTACCGGATAATTGTTCAATACAGCGGTGAGTCTCGCTCGAGTTTGATCGTCGTCCCCAATTTCTAATTGACATAAATCAGGACTAGCACTAGGTGGTTTTTGTGGACCCTTCTAGCACGTTGATGTCCTTATCTGCGAGCCTAAGTGTATTGTACATGTGGCGTAGTCCCAAGAGACTTCGTTATTAACGAGAAAGTCGTATCCTAGTAACGCGTCGCAGTACAGCAGATTGTCTAAAATAGTCACTTCGAATGTTATATCTAACGTACCTATTCTAGCTGTGAAATGTGCGGTGCCGCTGGTCGTCGCGATGTGACCGTCAGTCATTCGCACATTTGTTGTGGGTCCGCGTGAAATTTTGCCGAAATTTCGGACGATAGTCGGTTTTACATATGATTTTTGTGCCTGTGAATCTAATAGCGCTGTAACGAAGCCTGACGGGAATTCGAGCTCGACCGCGGGGGTCGGAATTTCGTCCGGGCGTGTTCGATTTGCGTTAATAGACGGAGATAGCGATGCGGAGCGGGGTAAGTAGTTCTGAACCGCGCATGCAGGTGTTTGGTTAGTGGAATGTTCCACCAGAGCCATAACATCCGCTACGATTACCTCTGTGCTCGCTCGACTATTCTTTTTCACAGACTAACCTAACGCGGGGTTGTACGACGTGGTGTGTGGCCCACCCCCGTTACCTGTGGTGGTAAACGACCGTTTCTCTGTTGCCTTTTTCCCTGTACCTGTGGCTTCCCCTGCAGCTGAGTGTGTGAGACGTTGCGTATCACCTTCGGAGTGATATGCGTCTGCTAAGAAGTAGTGTAGGTTGAGGGTCTGAGAAAGGTTGCTGTTGGGCTGTGCGTCGTCCGCGGTGGATATGGTTGCGGAAAAAATTTTCGAAAACGGTTGTTCGTTTTGACAAAATACCGAATTTCGTCGCTTGAATTTTTTCCGTTCATAATACCGAAATTGTGGGGGGGGTTGATTGGAGTCATCGGGGTGGACTAGGCCCCGTTGGCTCCCCCGCCGTTTCCCGACGTGGTCGGTCTATGGGGGCATACACTTTGCCAGTGCAGCTCGCCACAAAACTTACACGGCCCGGGCGGATTTTTTTGTTTAAAATCGCCGCGCGGTTTTGTTGCCGGTTGACCGTGTTTCGGGAATGCACCTTTTTTTGTTTGGTAAGAGTCTTTTTCATGGTGGACAAACTCTTTGCCGGGTGATGATGTGTGTGTGTTCGTTACGGGGTCTAAAATGTTCGCGATGCGTCGAAGCTCGGCGAAAGTCGACGGCTGCCGTAAACGAATGTGCGTACGGAATACGTCGCGCGTAAGCTCAGTTATAAAGTGTACTAATTCCGATTCGGATAGACCAGTATTTACGCGGCGCACGAGTTGATTTTTATTTAAAATATATTCCGTAAGCGTTTGTGTCGCGGTTTGTTGTGTAGACACTATGTCGGTGCGTAATTGTAGCTTTATTTCGTCGTTGTCGAAATTTTCGAGAAACTCGACATGAAATTCGCTCCAGGATAGATCCAGGACCTTAATGGATTTCCACCAAGTCGCGGCCATACCCTTTAATTGCGGTTCAACTGCCCTATACCACCCAGATATGTTAATGTTCGTCTGCGTTAGAATGGACTCCGTGTTATCTAAAAACCGTACGGGTCTTCGGCCCTTGTTCTTGAAAACTCGGGTAACGAAGCTCTTGTTGCGCGCAAATCCTCATACGGTATTAGCACAGAACGTTCTTGTGCACGTGGGACGAATGACGAAAAATGCCTTGAATTTTCGTGAAAACCCGTTTGGTCGTCGATCAAGTTTCGCGTGTAGTGTGAGTTACTCGCTGCGGCGTCGACGCGACTAGTACCCGGTTGCGCGTTTTGTCGGGTATTGCTGTCGTGCACGGGTGAAAAATTTCGATAATAACGTTCGCATGCGTACGTAAATTCGTGCGGTCGGTGGTTCGTGTAGTCGCGGCTGCTGGTCGGCTACATCGAGCTGTGCTCGATGCATTCCGCGCGAGAATTGACGTTGTTCTTCGAAAAAACGTGTCATACTTGTTTATAGCGCAGTTAAGCGTGAATCTAACGAGTTCCGCTCGCCCCCCCCCCCCCCCCGACGATTGAATCACGTAACGATCCGAGCTGAGCTGCTGCGGACTTGAAAACGTTATCGGTGTTTGCGGTATCGAGTAGATTTGAGGTCGATTGAAACACATTATTTCCCGCAAAGTCGCCCTCTGATAGTTGTGCGACTACACAGTAGTCGCCTAAACCTCCCAGAGTTGACGCATTGGGTGAACCTACTGTGTTTTCGCCCGTTCCCTGCAGTGGTGTGTGTCGTAACGCACCGCCACTGCCCTGCGGTTCGTCCGTTGACACCTGTGTATACGTAAACCGGACGTTCGCGGGTTCGATATCGTTGGATCATAAACATTCAGCTAGTCTCAGTTCCAGGTCGGCTTTGCCCCCAGTCGACGCTAAATCTCGAACCTCACACTCGCGACGCAACTCCTTCAACGTCAGTTGACTAATGTATTTGTCCGGCACAGTGTAAAAATTAATTATTAAATAATTCTAATTACTACTATTCGGTACACCGTCTGGTTGATTAGAGTACGTGTGGTGTTTCGGTGTAGATCAAATCGTCGTAGACAAAGATTTCGTGAAAATGTACTTATTACGATTTCGAAAAAAAAACAAACAGTCTGTGATATCACACTTCGGTTGTTATTTTGTTTGTGGCCCGCTGATATAAAATTTATATTTAATATTGTCGTAGGTCGTTTGACCTACTTCCGATAATGACTAAATACCGCGCCGCACAATAATCAAGTTTCGATAAAGACGGCGGCGGAGATAGCGACAAAGCTGTGGTGACTGGTGGCGCGTGTGCTACGGCCCAAGCCACAATCGGCGTGATGTGCAATTATCGGCGGGTCGGTGCGGATAGGTAGAGAGGTGGTTAGTTACGTAACTACGGGACCGAACATTTTCGCGAATATTTTTAGGTCGCGCGGATTTCCCTAATTAACTTCGAAAAGAAACGTAAAAATATACATAACCAAAAATATTGTACACCTGGAATATCTAATTATTACACTGAATAATAGCAAATCCGAGGTAATACTAGCGAAAAACTCTTACCTTGATTTTTCCGCTACCGGGATGATTCCTTACGGGGAGCCAATTGACACAGTGTTTAATGTGTGGTGGTGAGGAGGACACGTGGCCTCGGCGTTAATTCCGCAAAATAAATAGAAAAAAAAACACTCACATCTATTTGTTTCAGTAATTTACTTTTATTTAACCGAGTAGTTAAATTTAAAATAAAAATAACTACAGGAAGACGAAACTAGGTTCGTAACAACAAAATAATAATTGAATCAAAAATGAACACTTTTAATTGACGGATCGGAG